CCTGGCTTAAAGGGCTGTTCCTGAGGGGCAGCAGGATACAGCAGCGGATGGCAGAACTGATTGGGGTGATGAAGACGTCACAAAGCTCCAGATCTACAGATTCACCTTCACTCTAATCCTGGAGAATGGTCAGCAAGTAGAGGTAGAGTCAGAGAATTAGATCAAGCAGGCAGGAGACTAAAATGAGCTTCCTATAGAGGGTTCTGCTTTATGAGAAAACATCCATCATGTGACTCTAGAGACTTTGATCTAGCAGATGAAAATTATTTTAAAACAACTGAAGCTAAAGGAGCAACACCTTTATTTTAAAGTCATTGTCAAACTAAACCAGTACATTTAAAGATATATATACACAGCTCAAATAACACTCCGTAAATCTGAATGAATGAAATATTCTCAATGAATACTTTGTTCTGTATAAGGTTGGATCTGCTTACAACAAAATCATCAATGGATATTAAATTTATTAACCAATGGATTTCTGTTTTTGGAGTCAGACACAAAATTGGAAAAACCCTCCAGGCTGATCCAACTTAGGAAATGTCAAAATGAGGCTCAGTATTGTGTGTAGCCTCCATGACCTCCCTGTAACACCTCAGCAGGTGAAGGATGGTCCCCTGAGGGATCTCACCCAGACCTGGGGTAAAACATCCACCAACTCCTGGACAGTCTGTGGTACAATGTGACGTTGGTGGATGGATGGAGACATGATGTCTCAGATGGGCTCAATTGGATTGCAGTCTGTGGACTGGGCGAGCCAGTTCATAGCTTCAACTTACAGGAACTGCTGACACACTCCAGCCACGAGGTCTAGCATTGTCCTGCATTAGGAGGAACTAGGAGGCTAACTGCACCAGTAGATGGTCTCACCAGGGGTCTGAGGATGTCATCTCAGAAGAAATGCCAACTGACACCATAACTGACCCACTGCCCAAATGGCCATGATGAAGGATGTTGAAAGGCAGCAGACTCTCCACGGAATCTGAAGACACTGTCACATCTGTCGCGGATTTGCCAATCCTGGTGTTCTCTGGTGAATACCAAGCATCCTGCACGGTTTTTGCCCTCATACCGTTCTCATGAAGTCGCTTTCTTAACGTTGTCTGCTGGAGGTCACTTTGCAGGGCTCTGGCAGTGCTCCTCCTGTTACTCCTTGAACAAAGGTGGAGGTAGCAGTCCTGCTGCTGGGTTGTTGCCCTCCTACAGCCTCCTGCCCATCTCCTGGTGTACTAGCCTGTCTCCTGGTAGCGCCTCCAGTCTCTGGACATTGTGCTGACAGACACAGCAAACCATTTTGCCACAGCCCGCATTGATGTGGCACTCTGGATGAGCTGCACTACCTGAGCCTCCTGTGTGGGTTATACTTGAGCTACTGTAGGTTCTCCTTAGCATTAGCATGTCCTTGCAGCATCCAGCTTATATCATTCAGTTCAACAACAGGTCCAACAAGACTTCTGTTCAGCTCTCTCCTAAACTTGACACCAATTTTGTCTAATTTGAAGAATGTGGGGGGGCTGGTTGACCTTTTGACCTTTACATTTTCATTAATATCTTCAAAGCCAAAGCAGCACAAATGACATTTTTTGCTGCACAAACGCAGCTGAGTTAATTGACACCCATTTCATCTGATTTGAAGAAGGTTTGGGGGGGGCTGGTTGACCTTTGATGACCTCTAGAAATATTTCTTTATATCTTTAAAAGGATAGTGGCACAAACGAAAATTGTTGCTGCACAAACATAGCAGTTTGTGACTAATTTTGTCTGATTTGAAGAAGGTGGGGGGGCCAACTTCACTCAGGTCCTGGAAAGACCTGCCTGCCCTCCAATGACTCGCCCACCTGCGATCACTGAGAAAACCTCCAGCTCCAGTCCTTCCTGTCCAAAACATCGCGCTTATTCAGCAAGCTCCTGTCTGAATTAGGTTCCCAGCTTGAGTCTAAACCATCCGCTAACCTCTCGCCTTCTCTGCCTTCAGTGCAATGACCATCCAGCTCCAGTGGCTCCTCCATAACAACATTCTTTCCTTCTCTGATTTCTGCTATCAGTTTCAAATGGAAAATAAAACCTTTAGATCTGAATTCATGCTTCTCTTTGTGTGTTCTCTGCATGTGCGTCAAACGCCGTTCTTCAAACATGACATAACCAAGATTGATGATGTCAGCAGACACGCAGCTGGTTAAACCAGCTTTATTAGCCAGTGGGAATGGAACCAAACGCAGATTGTTTAGCGGGTGTTTTAAAAACCCACGTTAACCCGCAATTTTCAGTGGGAAGAGAGTTATTTGGAGACAGAACACCAAACCTGTGCACCCACCTTATCACACAGCCACAACCAACAAGCTCTGCACTGATGCAACACACTGGATGCTCATTAATGTCAGCCATAATTAGGAGAGGAGAAGAGAGCATCACCAAGGTCAGAGGAGAGGAAACAAAGTGAAGGAAACATGGAAATCATGCAGACAGACCCCCCTCCAGCTACCCCGCCCAGAAGAACCAAACATGGTGGGATGGAGAAGAGCTGCAGTTTAAAGAGGGGGGTAATGTTCCATTGGGTAGGCTGGGGGACGGCTGGTTGGGATAGGCTGGTTTCAATTGGGGTGGAGGGGGGAGAGGGATCGATAGAGACTAGGGGCTCCCCTCGGCTGCCAACGACCTTGAAGGCACCGTGCTGCCTTCACAGGCTAACTGAAAAAAACCCAATGAGATCTGATCCTGTAAAACCTCTTCAGGAGGAAGGAGAAGAAAGATGGAGGAAAGTAAGAAGAAGTCAGGACAGGATGAAGCTGCTGTTGGCTGCCTCCTCCTCCTCCTGCTGATGCTGCTTAATGTGGATTTTCTTTTACCTGATTTATTTGAGTAAATAGACTCAAACCCCTTCAGGTCAGGAGAATGAGATATGTGACGAAATACCTGAAGATGAAGAGATGTGAGAACGGCATACAGAAAAAACCAAGGTGAGAAACGCTTCCATCTCATTTCAGATTGCTGCGAGAAAATGTGTAAAGATCTAAACGTTAGATATAAACCATCCTCCATTTTGATTTAATGTGTGAT